TCCTCCTCCTCCTCCTCCTCCTCCTCCTCCTCCTCCTCCCGGGGGTTCCCCGAGGGCCACCGACACACGCACAAGCACAGCACACGCCCGACGCTGCTCCGAACCATCGATGGTCGGGAGTTCCGAGGGGAGAGAATGCTGCTTGGCATGAGCTTAGCTTGATGTCAATGAATGGAGGATGAATTGGATCCGTCAGTGCATCACTCTTGTGTACTGACGTAGAAGTTATGATGGTTCTTTTTGGTAATGGGCCAACTTATGATGCCAACCCATGCCCAACCCGTCTCGTCTCCAGGGACTTCGCATCCCCCTATGATTTGGCGGCGCGCAGAACGGGGAGGGGGAGGGGGGGAGGCTTCTTAGAAGGAGGCTGCTTCTTAGAAGCTGCGGGCCTTACATTTGCAGACAAGGCCCGCGCCCTCGAAGAAGCAGGGGTGCTTCCAAGGAGCCTTCCTCCCTCCCCCTGTACCCCGTGGCGCGCCGCCAGTGATGGTGGGATGAAGAAGGCTGATCTCGACGGCTGCTGGGGCGCCTCGGGTCGAGCTGGGAGGCCGCACGTGGGGCGGCGAGGCCGCAGGTCTGGCGAACCCAGCCCTGTCCAACGAACCCCACCGGCGGCCTTCGGCATGTGAGGGGTGCGGGGGCAGGTCCGGCCGGGGTCCTGATCCGCCGCGCGTGTGTTCTGCGCGCGGACCAGCGCTTCCTCTCGGGAGAGCGTGTCCTTCAGCTCGCACCTCAGGCCACGTCGTCGTCGTCGTCCTCCTCCTCCTCAAACTCCCCGTCTACTCGTGAGCCCACCTCCTCCGCTTCCGCCGATCCTATCCGATCCTTCTTCTTCATGAATCTGTACTGACACTCTGCAATCCAGCCGGTCGATACCTGCCAGATCCGTGGGGTCCACACTACCCAGCCAAAACAAAGTCGACGTTTTTCTTTCGACATGGGCGCTTCGTGATCGACTTTGCAACATGCGTGGCGCGAGCGGGGTGTTGCGCACATCGCGCGCAAGATGTTGACATGCCGTTCTCGCATCGGCGCTGCACTCATGTTTCCTGAGAACGGAACTCCCACTTCAGCGCGGCGCGCATTTTTCGCTCGCCAATTCGTCCGCAGTGGGGTCGCGAGCGAGAGGGCGAACAAATCACTCTCGCGTCGGAGCTGCGCAGATTTAGCCAGAAAGGTGCGCTCACACCTCGACACGGCGCCTACACTGAAATCGTCAAGTCGTTTGGGGCGGGGCCCTCGCATTGCGAGCGGCTGAATCGTCGCCCTCCCAGTCTCTGTGCTGAATTCGCATAGAATTTGCGTTACCGCTCGCGGGGAACACATAGGTACCGATACTCTACTCCCTGGACCGTTCCCGAGGTGCGTTCTGACCAGAATTACAAGGCGAATCCAGCTGTGGCGACAAGTGCCTCCAGGAGGCCCCAAAAGTAAAAAACAAGGCAGAGGCAGCGGTATCGGTACCTGTCATTTCTCTGCGCTTGGGCGCGCACACATCTCGCTCGCCGAAAGTTCTATATATAGTTTATGTATACATACAAATGTTGCTTATGAGCGTGAACATGTATGTGCATATAGATGTGTGCATGTATGTATGTACATGTGTGTGACTGTTTACATGCATGCAATTATGCATGAATGATGTGTGTACGTATATGTATGTATGTATGTGTGTATGCATGTATGTATGTATGTATGTATGTATGTATGTATGTAAGTGTATGTATGTGTAGGTGTATGTGTATGTGTGGGTATGTGTATGTATATGCGTATGTGCATGTGTATGTATATGTATATGTATATGTATATGTATATGCATATGTATATGTATATGTATGTGTATATGTATGTGTAGGTGTATGTGTATATGTACGTGTAGGTGTAAATGCGTGTGTGCCTGTTTATGTATATGTATATATATATATATGTATATGTATGTATATATGTATATGTTTATACATATGCATAGGTATATGCATAGGTATGTCTGTATGTATGTGTGTATGCATGTATGTATGTATGTATGTATGTATGTATGTATGTATGTATATATGCATGTATGGTTGTATATATGTATGTATGGACGTATGTATGTATGTATGTATGTATGTATGTATGTATGTATGTATGTATGTGTGTACGTATGTAAGCATTGATGTATGCATGTAAGGTGGGATGACGATTCAGAAAAAAGGAGGGGGGGGGAACGATTAAACAAATAGTTTCCCACACTGGGGGTGGGAACGCTCAGAAGCAGGGCTCGCCTGTGCAGTCGTCACAGAAGGCCCGCCTCTGCGACGACCACACAAGCAGGTCTCCCCGTGTCGAGGCTCAAAAATTAGCCTGACGAAAGACCCAACCATACGTAGTTGTGAATACCGCAATTGTGGATATATTTTTCGGTGGCGCCCCCGGGCCACGAAACGAGTGAGGGGTGTGCCGAAATGGGGGGGTGGAACCGCATGCGAGCGCAGCCACTGGGGCGCTCGGTGGAGCTCCCTATGGAGCCACGAAGCGTGTGAGGGGTGCCAGAATGGGGGGTGGAACCGCATGCGGGCGCAGCCACTGGGACCTGCGGTGGAGCCCCTATGGGGCACGAAACGTGAGGGGCCAGAATGGGGGGTGGAACCGCATGCGGGCGCAGCCCCTGGGGCCTTGGGGCGGTGGAGCTCCCTATGGGGCCACGAAACGTGTGAGGGGTGTGCCAGAATGGGGGGTGGAACCGCATGCGGGCGCAGCCACTGGGCCTTCGGTGGAGCTCCCTATGGGGCCACGAAACGTGTGAGGGGTGTGCCAGAATGGGGGGTGGAACCGCATGCGGGCGCAGCCACTGGGGCCTTCGGTGGAGCTCCCTATGGGGCCACGAAACGTGTGAGGGGTGTGCCAGAATGGGGGGTGGAACCGCATGCGGGCGCAGCCACTGGGGCCTTCGGTGGAGCTCCCTATGGGGCCACGAAACGTGTGAGGGGTGTGCCAGAATGGGGGGTGGAACCGCATGCGGGCGCAGCCACTGGGGCCTTCGGTGGAGCTCCCTATGGGGCCACGAAACGTGTGAGGGGTGTGCCAGAATGGTGGGTGGAACCGCATGCGGGCGCAGCCACTGGGGCCTTCGGTGGAGCTCCCTATGGGGCCACGAAACGTGTGAGGGGTGTGCCAGAATGGGGGGTGGAACCGCATGCGGGCGCAGCCACTGGGGCCTTCGGTGGAGCCCCTATGGGGCCACGAAACGTGTGAGGGGTGTGCCAGAATGGGGGGTGGAACCGCATGCGGGCGCAGCCACTGGGGCCTTCGGTGGAGCTCCCTATGGGGCCACGAAACGTGTGAGGGGTGTGCCAGAATGGGGGGTGGAACCGCATGCGGGCGCAGCCACTGGGGCCTTCGGTGGAGCTCCCTATGGGGCCACGAAACGTGTGAGGGGTGTGCCAGAATGGGGGGTGGAACCGCATGCGGGCGCAGCCACTGGGGCCTTCGGTGGAGCTCCCTATGGGGCCACGAAACGTGTGAGGGGTGTGCCAGAATGGGGGGTGGAACCGCATGCGGGCGCAGCCACTGGGGCCTTCGGTGGAGCTCCCTATGGGGCCACGAAACGTGTGAGGGGTGTGCCAGAATGGGGGGTGGAACCGCATGCGGGCGCAGCCACTGGGGCCTTCGGTGGAGCTCCCTATGGGGCCACGAAACGTGTGAGGGGTGTGCCAGAATGGTGGGTGGAACCGCATGCGGGCGCAGCCACTGGGGCCTTCGGTGGAGCTCCCTATGGGGCCACGAAACGTGTGAGTGGCGCGGCGCTGACGATGGCGATGGTGATGATGATGATGATGATGATGATGATGATGATGATGATGATGATGATGATGATGATGATGATGATGATGATGAGATGATGATGTGATGATGATGATGATGATGATGGTGGTGATGGTGATGGTGATGGTGATGGTGATGGTGATGTGATGGTGATGATGATAATGATAATGATGATGATGATGATGATGATGATGATGATGATGATGATGATGATGATGATGATGATGATGATGATGATGATGATGATGATGATGATGGTGGTGGTGGTGGTGATGGTGACGAGGAGGAGGAGGAGGGAGGGGGCAGCGGGAGGAAGGAAGGAGACGCGGGGCACCGTCTCTTCAAAACGAGGACCCAACACCACAGGATGGTTGGGAAAAAAGGCCCGCATGCGACGACCACACAGGCAGCGCTCCCCTGTGACGAGGCGCAAGGAAAGCACCCGCCTGTGACGACCACGCAGGCAGCGTTCCTCTGTGACGAGGCACAAGGGGAGGGCCCGCTTCTGTGACGACCACACAGGCAGCGTCCCCTTGTGTGGAATCTGAATGAGAGGGCCCGCCTTTGTGACGACCATACAAGCAGGGCTCCCCCTGTGTCGAGGCTCAAAGACAGGGCCCGCCTGCGACGACCACACAGCCAGCGCTCCCCTGTGAAGAAGCGCAAGGAAAGCGCCCGCCTGTGACGACCACACAGGCAGCGCTCCCCTGTGACGAGGCGCAAGGAAAGCGCACGCCTGTGACGACCACGCAGGCAGCGCTCCCCTTTGACGAGGGTCAATGAAAGCGCCCGCCTGTGACGACCACACAGGCAGAGCTACCCTGTGACGAAGCTCAGGGAAACTTCCACCGCGGGGGGGGCGCGCGCCCGAGGACGGCGGGGGGGGGGGAGGATTAGAAAAATAGTTTCCCAGCCCGGGGCCGGTTTTTTTTATCATCATCCCGGGCGCCGCCGCGTGAACACGACCCCCGGTCATTTTTTGATCATCATCCTCCATTACGTATGTATGCCTGTATGTATGTATGCGTATGTGTATATGTCTGTGTATGGGCTTGTGTGTATGCATGCATGCATGTATGTCTGCGTGTGTGTACGCATGTATGTGTGTAGAACGAGATGTCTATGAACACATCACAATGTCCCCCCATGGGGGATCTTCACACATGCATACCCGAAAGGCTTAAACGAAGATGTTGGAAGCCGATCCCGACGCAGATGCGAGCGACCATGACAAGGAGGTGCAGGAGGCACGAGGAAAAGGAGGAGAGGGAAGGCGGGCAGGGGGATAGAGAGAGAGGGAGAGTGGGACAGAGAGAGAGAGAGAGATGAGAGAGTGGCGAAGAGAGAGAGAGAGAGAGAGAGAGAGAAACAGAGGGAGGGACAAGTGAAGAAATAAATAGAGAGAGAGAGAGAGAGAGAGAGCGAGGCATGTTTCCTTTGGTGGAGGAGGTGGTACTCATCTATTTCGGG